CTATATTGTTATATATATATAATAGAATAGAGAGAGGGAAAGAAGCAGCCATCGGGCTAGGGCAAAGCCCGATCGGGGAGAAGGAGGCGGAGACGGGCAGGCTCACGCACGGAGGAGGCTCGGGGCGCTGGTCGGCAAGGTCGGCGTCGGCGGGTGCGGCGAAGTCGGCGGCAGGGTGGTCCGGCGTCGGCTAGGGCGCGGCGAGCAGGAGCCGACGGGATTCGGCTTTGATGGGGTAGAGCGACGAAGGTATGTTTCGGAAATCCCTTCTCTTCCTCTCTGTGCGTTTTTGCGTGTATGAGAACTGAATGAGAGAGGGATTTACTATCGTGAGTGAGGCGGTGAGCGAATCGTCGTGAGGCGGGACCGACAGAGGCGATTGTGTCGTTTGGGTATGTCGGTCGGAGGAGCGGTTTGTCCGATCTGGCGTGCAGCAGTTACAGTCAACATTATCTTTTGGCTAGTGTATTGCTCTGATACCATTTGTAATAACTCAAACTCTTAACTATCAAGAAATTGTCCATTTTGGCCTGTGAGTCTTACGGTTTTATCATATTGGTGTAACTTTTCAAGTGCTCACTCATCATGCCGAGTTTCTTAATGAAATTATGACCATGACACTAAAAGGTGCCTTGATGTTTAAGTGTATAGCTTTTTTTTTTATTCGAAGGGGTTCTATATAAGAAACCTCTTAAGTGGAGTGAAACTAAACTCTTAAACATAGATGCATATTTTAGCGTAATGATTAAAAGTGTGCTCATACAAGATTACTCATAAGATGGGTAACATCTTAAAAAGCTGCACCAACATGACAATATTATGAAACGAATAGGCCTAAGTAGATAATATATCTATAATTAAGAGTTTAAGCATTTATAAATGGCAGCAAAATAATACACCTACTAAAGGATGGGAAGTAAAAGTATCATATAGGCCAAAGTGTTAGATCATGGGGGCTACTACTTAAACCTTAGATGGGACAAAGTGGTACATGAAGGGAACCACTTCTTGAACTTATAAGCGGACCAACTAGAATTGTATCTTCCTATTGAATGATTCTAGGCAATGATGACTTCAACAACTCAAGCATAGGAATATATGTGAAACCCCTTTAAGGAGAATGAAACCAAACTCTAAGCATTGAGATGCATTTTGGTGTAATAGTTAGACTTACATTAGAAACTCTAAAGCTAAGTATACTTGTACAGTAGCACTCCTATGATTAGTAACCTTTTGTAAGTTACACCTGTAACAATTCGAAATTCTAAAAATAGAAAAAAAATTAAAATTTTGTTTTAATTGGAGCACTGCAACGTTAGGCCTATAGTGCATTATTTTTTTTAGTGCTTATAAACAATTATAATTCTTAGTGAATGAGGAGAGATAAAGTGAAATATGAACTTTGCTGCTTTTATAAAAAATACTCAAATCAAAGTATGTGATTCTAATTATATCTCTATTTTCAAATATTTTGATTTTCACCACTCTTCTCCTCAAAATTAATTTTATTGTATTTTTTCTAATTTTATCAAACTTTCACCTTACAACTTTTTATATGATATCATAATAATTATTTTGAAAATTTTGACTTTAACCTTTCTAAATTTTTTAAGATAAAATAGAAGTTATTGAATTTTATAAGATTTAGTCTTATAGATTTCCAATAACTTTCATTGATACTTCCGCTTTACTGATTCATATGATTTTTTTATTGGTTAAATAACACTACTATGATGTTTGGTTTAAAAATTATAATCTAAATCCTTATCATTTTGATATTCGTACTATACTATTTTACAAGCTTTAGTGTTACGGCATGCGTTTTACTATTTTTGCACATGCATAAATTTTCATAATCATATTGATTGTTATTGTTATGAGCTAAATGATTTTATGCATATTGTTTATTTTTTTGTGCTCTGAGTTCAATTGTAGGATACTAGTAACTTGATGGGCTTTATAAGCTCAATATATGTGGTTCAGTGATTTCAAATTAAAGGAGAGGTTCATGAGTGTAAGGTTGATTAAATACAAAATTCCTCAAATTTCACTATTATTTTGTCTTTTTGTTATTTTCTTGAGCTCAGGAGTGAGTTGACAGTATGTTGTATTTGTATGGCTCATGACCAATATATATGATTTTTGGATAATGAACTCAGATGTATATTGACGTTTTAATCAATAAATTTATTTTCAGTGGTAATTTATTATTGAAAGGATTTAGATAACTCTCTTTTTTATTATTAAAAGAGAAAAATATAATTATTTTCAAATTAGATTATAGAGAGTGACATTGTGTGTTCCCACTATGGAGTTTACTTGGTTGGTGTCACATAGGGAGATTGTGAGGTCATGTAGTATCTAGGTTGTATGTGGTGTGTTTAAAAATCATTTAATTTTAACAAATGATAATCGGGAGATGAAGGTATGACGATAGTCGGATGATGATGGTAAGACGATGACAATCAGATGATGATGATTTGATGACAATGAATGAATCATGAATATTAGACAATAATGATCAAATGAGGCCAATTAGAAGATGATGTTCGAAGGTCAAGTGACGATAGTGACTGGCGATAGTTTTAGCTATCGAATGTAAAGTAGAACTATATAGTTTTTTTCATTACTCCAGCTCACTCTAAAGTCAAGTTTAGGACCCTTTTATAAATAGAGTTTATTTATAGTACTTTGGCAATGTTATTTTGATAAATTTGATCAAATTTTCATAACAATCTACCAGACATCTCATATTGAACTATTTGATCATAAATGATTCAATTAGCATTTAAATGTTTTAATGGCATTAGAATTTAATGATTCTAGGCTTGTTGGGTTCATTTTGCTGAGCCACTCAATTTGATTATTAGCATGTA